GGTTCTTTATTAGTCTTGCTTTTGGTATTTTCAACCTCAGAATAGTCAGTGGTGAACAGGGGTGGGGTGATGTACTAATAAAGCATCTGCTGAATGCATGGGGAGCTATGGACAACTCCTGGGGCTGGGACATCGGTAGACACTTCCTTAAGCATCCTCTCTCAATGTTTTGATAATCTCTGTATAGCCCTGACTGAGAACTTACTGCTTTTGGTCCCTGATTTCTATAGCCTTTATAAAGTTATGCTCAGCATTCCTCACACAGTAGTTCATACAGACATGGGTGTTCTACATGTCCACTGACACCACTTCAACAGAGAATGTAACACTCATACACGGCCAGCTGTCCACATGCACACTCCTGATTAACCCAACGTGACCTAATTATATTCTTCCAGAGCCCATGGGATACCGCACAGGCACCCCTGGATTTATTTTCCCAGATGTAAGTATGGAATTCCTTTGCCTCGGAAGGGATGTCATCTCCCCAACTCATAGACAAATATGCACAAGCGTAAACACACACAGAGGGAGAAAGAAAGAGATGAGCACACATATGACAGCTCTGTCGTTCTTATTCTGTAACTTTTCGTTCCCCAGTGGTTCAACAGCTAGCAAGTCCTGCCTATCTGTGAAACCTGCTACCTTCCCTCCTTAGTTTATTTCCTCCAAACTCATATTACATAGTCTAGCTTCCAGGAAACTAATCTGTCATTTCCATATAAAAGACTCAAATATCTCTCTCCCTCTCTCTCTCTCTCTCTCTCTCTCTCTCCCCCCATTAGATAACTAATTATTATAATTTGGTAAGCTTTATACCAGTATGCCCCTAGTTGTATATGTGATTGTATATTATTGGTCACATCCCAAACACCATGTGTACTGTATTTACAAATGCAGCAGTTTCCCAATGGCAGTCTCAAATGGTGACACTGTACTTGGTAGATTTAGTAATGAAAATTTTCACTTTCACTTCATTCCTTTTATTTTTGAAATATTTTGAGGCAACTGTATGACTATTATAATTTGTTATCTAGAAGTTGTTGCAGAATCATTCTGTAACATAGAATTTTGTTTTCATTTGCCTGTAGCACAAGCAGATTTTGCCATTTCAATTAGAGTTGTGGTTAAGCTAGAGGCCGGCACTTAGTGCTTTTGCCACTAGGTGGTGCACATACACATTAGCCAACTGTGGGTTAAATGAGTGTCTCGCAGGTTAGATTTAATTCAGTAGCACTGGGGTGGTACAGACAGTAGGAGGGACAGTATAGTGATCCTAAGGGGAGAAACCAAGAAAAGAAGCTCTCTCATGGGAGGCGGATCGAATGTTTCTGGTTGACAAAATGGCAGGAGCAAAAACCAAGGGAAGAAAGGCCAAAAATATGGTACAGGAAAAGTCTTGAAGAGGGAAGAGGGCATTTACTCTATGGTAATTCCCACCTAACATGGTCATTGTAAGGGAATAGAAGAACAGTTCAATAGTTTGAGATAAATGGCACCAAGCATTCTTTCCAAGGCTTTCTTCTGAGGACTGGAGGCATGGAGATGAAATGACATAATCCTATCCTCAAGTAAGGACTAGTGGGAAAGGCAGACAGGGAAATAGTGAAAAGAAAGCATGACACAAAAGATAAGTAGTACATGGTACAGTGGAAAAAGAAGGGGTTGGAGAGATGGCTCAGTGGTCTAAAGCACCTACTTAGAACAAGCTTGGCAAGGCATCAGGGACCGCGGTTCAATCCCCCAGCACCACATGCCAGCCAGCCCCGCCCCCTGGTGGGCTGAGCTGGCCACACACACACATCTCTCTCTCTCTCTCTCTCTCTCTCTCTCTCTCTCTCTCTCAAATAAATAAAAAAAAAAAGAAAAAGAATGTGTGAAATATTCTTTCTACTCTAGGGAGAGAAGAGAAGGGAGTTAGATTTAGGAATCTGTATACAGAGAGTAAGACTTTGTAGAAGTCTTGAGAGTTCTTGAGTAGTGATCTGCAGGAAGAAAGTAGGCAGAGAATGACATAAACAAAGGTTCAGTGAAGCTCAACAAAAACCTACCAAGCACTACCATATACTCGGACTGATGTAACTAAGATGAATTACAGACTGTCCAGACCCCTAAGATGCTCCTCATTATGGAGGACTTGCATATGTATGGAAACAGATAATCTCAACATAATTGTGTAGCCTAGAATGTGGATGTTTCTAAATTCTAGCTCTTCTAGCCTAAAATGCCCTGATTCCATGGGTTCTCAGAGAACTCTTCATAGGAGAAGAGGGAATCCACACGCCCCATACCTATTTGCATCTACAGAGTCACCAATAGTACTTTAGCCTCATTTACTCATTTTAGATTTGTGAAGACAGAAGCCAGAGACTGTATGGCATACAAAGCCACACAGAAGAGGTAGGACATATGTGCAGACATGTGTGCTGTCAGGTTCACTTCTCATTTTTCTTTACTGGAAACCGGACATAAAGTTGCCATGTAGCAGTAGTTCTTAATTAGGAATTAGATGTGCTTCAGACAAAAAGACCTCCTTCACCAACTGTTGTCACCACTAGGTGAACCTTATGGAAACAGAAAGACACAATGGGTTCTTCCCTCCTCACATATGAGGAAAATGACAACCTGCACAGGTTGGTTTTGGCAAAGGCAGCTTGAGCTGTTTTCCTCCTAATTTGGTTTCGTGTTTGGGGGAGAGGTCATCCGACTAGCATTCTTTCTACATAGCACATGTGAATGTGTGTTTTATTTTGTTATGAGAATTTGTGCTCATTATGTAGATTGCTGATATCTTGAATTGAGAATGGGCAGGAAAAGGGGGACATGTGATTGAGCAGGTTCTGAAAGGATGCAGTCCTGAGACAGCCCATGAGAAGTCATGGAATGATATTAAAGAGATTTTGACTAGGACAGATCACAATTATATAAAAAGTGAGGCTAACTCAAATACAAAGCAATTTGAGACAAGAGTTCTTTGAGGAAAAGACAAAGGCACTTGGAATACTTAGCCTGAAGAGATAGTAGATCAGATCATCAGACCTCCACACTATTGTCATGGAACGCAGAAGCTGGACCCAGGGATGGCATGAGCACTTCATCCTGCTCCAAGCAGAGGTATCTAACCTGTAAGAAATCGTGATTTCCTATCAAATAAAGGGATGAACTGGAAACAGTCCATAAAACTGGTGGGGACACTGCAGAAGGGATACAAAGTCATTCAAAGTCAATGGCTTCTGAGCTCTAAACATGCATAAGTCTATGAAAATGGAAGAGACAGCTTGCATGAACAGAATTAGGTGCTCTACAAAAATAATATCAATCCCAAACATATTTTTCCTGTGAATCTATTAAGCACAAGGTACCATGGTAAATAAATTATATTCATTGTCCTATTTGGGACTTTAGAATCAGGATTAGAGTTGACTGAATTCCAATCCTGACCCTGGCATTTAATGAAAATGTGATCTTCGGTAAATAATTGCTTCTCTGTGAATGTCATCTCATTCCTCCTTTACAATACTCACCCTGTAGGATTACCAAGAATACAAAAAGAAATGATACATCAAAGTACCTAGTATTGTGCCTAGCCTTTAGTAGGTGATCAAAACATATTGCTATGTTCTGCTTTCTGTTTAATTCAAAGTTCAGGAAACCATTATTGAAGAGAGATGAGATAAAGGAGAAAATGCAGGTGAGGTAAAATGTGCCGAGTTATCTAATGGAAGAGTCGCCCCCTGATCAAAAGCACATGCCATTTAAAGTCTCTGTCAGTGGCTTCCAAAGTAGAGTTTGGACACTTTAAAGAAAATAAAATAAATACTGTCAGTACCATTTATGGAAACCTTTATTTATTTATTTATTTATTGTATTTTAGGGGAGGATCTACAGGGTGTTCAGGGTCTCAGTACTAGATCAGACTCATGGTGATTTGCCTGTTTTACAGCCTCCCAAGAGCTGAGATTACAGGTGAGCCACCACACCCAGGCTCATTTGCCATCTCAGCCCACCCCAGAGGAGGGGCCAACACAGCAGACCCAGGGATCAAACCCCCAGCCCCTGTGCCTGCTTGCAGGCACTTTAATCTGCTGAGTTATTTGGCCGACCCTTGGAAAACCATATTTAGGAAAGAGCAAGAGGCCAATACAAAGACTGGAGCTTAAAGAATTCTGATTGGAGTCTTCAAGGGAGATACTCACTGCTACCTAACAGAAGCCTCCAATGCCTACCTCTATAAACTTAAGTCCCATGACATCTAATCAAGCACAGAGATTTCCAGTAGTCATTTTGTGAAGGTGGATAGGCCTTTTGAGATATTGATCATCTTATTCCTTGGGATAACCAAGATCAGTTTCCTAAAAGTACAAGCAATCTTACCTATGTAGCCTAGTATGTTTGATAAATATTTTGTAGGAGTGTTGTGCATTACAAAAAGATAAGGATTAAGAGAAGGAACAGGTGTTGCATCAGTAATTGAAATTGTGGTAGCATTGTTAAGCAGACTCAAGAAATAAGCCAGCTCAGAAGTATCTTGGTTAGGAAGGAATTACTGAATGGTGACAGTAACACAAGTACTACAGGCAAAGAAGGTTGTCAGTATATCAGATGCTCAACCAATGCAATCAATGTGAACTAAAAGAACCCAAGGTCATCTAGTGCAGATGAATAGGAAAAAAATTACAGTTATGCAACTGTAAAGGGGATTTCTCTGTGGCCCTAGGTATGCCACATTTCTCTGAGGGCTTCCTTTTCCATATGTGTAGTGTAGGTTTGACTGGAAGCTCTCTAAGGCCCTCTCAGCTGTGACCATCTGTACTTTCAAGGACAGAGAAAAAGTCCATACTTTCTCCTTTGTCTCCGGGATGTAAGACTTCCTTAAAGAATGATAATGAGCACCATGTCCTGTAAAATTTACCCTGCTCTCATTTGCTGTCTGTCCTGACCTAAGCACGAGTTTGGCTCTGGCTCAAATCAGGGCTCTTACAGTGTGTTTTCTTTTGCAGCAACAGCGGCAGCTTGACCTTCTGACAATAACCAGCCCTGGTGAGTAGGGTGTTTTGCTTTGGATTTTCTGTTTTCTGAGTGATACCTTCTTGCCCATCCAAATTAATGCCTACCCTCCTCCTTTACCTCCTTTATCAACAGCAGAATGTTTGTTCCGTGAATAACCCATCTCTTTTCCCTCTGCCCCTCTTCACTGGGCAGATAGTGGAGCTGATACTCTGGATATTGCTTTATATTCTAGGGCCAAACTCTTCCCAAATCACTCATTGAACTCAAATGTTAAGGATGTGTCTTGATCGCCTGAGAAACAAGTTTTAAAATCATAGACAATTGGGTGGGCCAAACAGCTCAGTGGATTAAAGCACCTGCAAGTAGGCACAGGAGCTGGGGGTTCGATTCCTGGCCCTGGTGGGTGCACTGAGCTGGCAATTGAGACTGGGCGTGGTGGTGCATGCCTGTAATCCCAGCTCCTGGGAGGCTGTAAATAGGAGAATCACTATGAGTCCGATCTTATAGTGAGACCCTAAACACCCTGCAGACCTTTCCCTAAAATACAGAAAAAAAAATCACAGACAATGGGAAATTGCATAGAAAGAACCACGAAAATATGGTCATAGGGGCCGGGGAGATGGCTCAGTGGAATAAGCGCTTCCCTGGCAAGTGCAAGGGTCTGAGTTCAATCCCCAGTTCCGCCAAAAAAAAAAAAAAAAAAAAAGTTCATGCAGAAGTATCAGACTGCAAAGTGCCTAGCAGGGTTGGTTATGTTGAGGGTTAAAGTGATTTTCATCTCTCACCTATAGAGGACAGTCAGGTCCCCCCAACAAAACTGTGACCAAGGGATTAAGGCCTGGATATGTATAGTTTCATCAAAGAGGTATTTTATTACAGTTCTGAAACTTGGAGGTAAAATTGGATAATAGATAATAATTCTTTCTAGGACCAAAAGGATGATGTCAGTGGGGTTAGTTAACATTTGCAAGTCTAAGTGGAGTTCATCTTTGCCCCCAGGTGATATTGAAAACTATTTAACAATCCTGGTGACTACCTGCTATGCTAGAATTAACACTTTGGTTACTTGACTTTGTGGAGATAAGCTGCTCACAGAGAAGCCAGTGTGGCAGAATGGTCACACGTTTGGTAGGGTCCAAGTGGAGAAAGAGAGCTTAAAGAATGGCTAATTAGCAAGGAACATCGAAATGTTTCAATATCTTAGTAACCAGTTTAGCTGAACCATGTCAGTCTTGTCTTCCATAGAGGCTTCCACACTAATATTCAGGGACCATGAGTTGGCTCAAAATCAAAGAGGTTAAGAAATTGCTCTCTTCAGGAGCTGTCCTAGAATAAAGCTTAGTTCTCTACCTTGTGTAAATGAGGTATAGGACAGAGACTGCTAAAAGTGGATATGTTCGGTTCAAGTGACCTCACTATATTTCAAGCTGACAGCTCTCTGAGTTTGAGACATTAGAAAATCAGTATGATATTATTTAAAAAATGGTTACCTTTGTCCCATACAATGAACTCTATTTGATATCTATCTATCTATCTATCTATCTATCTATCTATCTATCTGTCTGTCTATCTATCTATCTGTCTATCTAGATATAGATATAGATATATGTATATAGGTAGATATAAATATGTATATGTCATTGTCAATCATATATCCATGATATTGACATATACATATACATGATTAACATTTATGGAAATTGAAAATCTTGGGATGTCATACTGGAGTGGCTCACTCCTGTGACCTACCATTTGTTTGGATCTCTTTTATTTTTTTCTGGTACCAGGGATCAAACTCAGGACCTTGCACTTAGACAGGCAGGTGCTTATGCTGCTGAGCTATCTTGCCAGTCCTTCAATCTCTTATTTGATAACCTATGTTTTTGTGACTTAAGAAAGCCTTCACATTGCCTGGGGAGATGGCTCAGTGGAATAAGTGCTTCACTGGCAAGCGCAAGGGCCTGAGTTCAATCCCTGGTTCTGAAAAAAAAAAAAAAAAAAAATCCTTCGCAAATTAGATATAATACTCTCCCATATTTACTTTTAAAATTTGTCAAGTTTTTTGTCATATTTATGTCTTTATTATATCATTTGTGACTAATCTTTCTGTCTGACATGAGCTAGAAATTTAATTATTTTAATTACTTCTGGATAATTATTTTAGCACTGTCCAACAACTAGTCCCTCCTTTTCCCCGTCCATCAGCAACTATACTTTTGTGACATCAAATTTTCCTGTAGGAATAATCTGTTTCTGAGCTCTCACTGGCATACTATCATATCAACTCCATCAACTCCACACTGTCTTCTTTATAATAAATTCAAATGTTAATAGTATTTATAATTGAGATGAACACTGTATGTCTCTCCCTGTTCCTTTTATGTTTATCCTTTGAAAGTAGCAATTATTTTTAAATTATATTTTTAAGTATGATGTAATAATCTCTAAGTTATAACAAATGAATTTAAACTATTGTAATTATAGGAACTGATATTTTGTAGTAGATTTCTACCACCATATATGTACTTGGTATTATTCATTTACTTGGTTTTTTTGCATGTTTATTTTTTTAGTGTTATATATTAGCTGCTTTTTCTTCACACCTTCTGTACAGTCGGATGCCATAGATCTTTATTTCTAAACTTGGCCCTTTAAATATATGCTTAAAATTGCGTTTACTTCTTTTATTATTACTTTTTTAAGACTGGGTCTACAAAGTCTATAGGGTCTCACTATGTAGATCATGGTTCAAGGGATATCAAACCCAGGCCCTGGTCTACCTAAGCAGGTGCTTTAATCCACTAAGCTATCTGGCAGGCCCAAAAATTACCTTTCTTACAAAGTAGACAGGTATTCAGAACTTTTATCATTCATCTAACCAAAAAAGATTATTAAAACACCTTCATCACTTATTGCACTCTTTCCTTTCGCTGCCTATTCTTGTATATAGAGACTTTTGTTTATTTTTAAATAATTTTATTGAGAAGGAAATAGCAATGAGACAGTTTCAAAACCAATTAGTAGGACAGTTTCAATAATTAGTACATTGCATATTGCTGTCTTATAGTGGTTATTCATAGTATAAGATGCAGACATGATATCCTGCTATATAATCCAATATAATCCAGTAGTCCATAATAGTAGTGGGTTATCAGTAGTACTGGCAATGTCAAAAGTTGTTGACTTGAGCCATATCTGTAGGACTGGAAATGTCAGAAGTTGTTGACTTGAGCCTTTTACAGCTCAACATATTAATATAGCTTTACTTTTTATACCTTGTTTTTATATTTTAAGTTCAACCTTTTCCAAAAAGAGAAAAACAATACACTATTATTACAATTACTGTCAAATAAATGTTTCTAGACAACATATGAATGTTTGATTGTATGTTTCAGGCCTCCCCTACTAATATGCATCCTTTAGCATCCAGCTCGGTAGAAATCTACAAGAAACCCTCTGCCTGCATACGTCCTTGTTTTGACTTCTCTCTGGAATGATCATTTGGCTAGATGTAAATTCAAATTTCAAGAAAGTTTTCTTCTGGGCTGGGGGATGGCTCAGTAGAATAAGCGCTTCCCTGGCAAGCTCAAGGGACTGAGTTCAATCCCCATTTCTGCAAAAAAAAAAAAAAAAAAAAAGAAAGTAGGAAAGAAAGCTTTCTTCTGCACTTTGAGGATTTTGTTTACTGTCTTCTCATATCCACAGTAGCTGGTGAGATGTCTGCCATATTATAAATTATTTTAGGTAAACTATTTTTTCTAGGGTAGGTTTTAAGAGGTTTTTTTTTTTCTTTTTTTAATCTTTAGAGTTTGCTGGGGCTGGGGAGATGGCTCAGTAGAATAACCGCTTCCCTGGAAAGTGCAAGGGCCTGAGTTTAGTCCCTGGTTCTTAAAAAAAAGAAGAGTTTGCCTTTTACATATGTCTGGTTGTGGATTTATTTTTACTTGCCCTATCTGGTACCCTGAGTATGTTTCAACTGAAAATTATGTCTTTATTTAGTTATGAAAATTTTCATCTCTTCAAATGTTGCTCACCATTCCTTTGGTTTTCTTCCTTAAGAATTGCTAGTAAGGAAAGGCAGACACCCATCAAGTGGGTTTCCATTTTTATCATGTGCGTCTTACTGCACTGATTCTGAGTTTCGCCCAAAAGCTTAGATACATAAATTCACTTTTCAACCATGTCTCCAGAAATTTTTGCTTTTTCAATACCTCAATAACTCTATTTTTCATTGCCATGATTTCTAATTTTGTTCCTATCCACCTGTTCTTATTTTATTTCTGCCTTTTCTGTTTCATAATTTCTAGTTCTGTTTTAACATCTTCATTTGTTTCCTTGAACATCTTCAATATGCTTACTTTAAAATCTTTGTTCCATAAAATAAGTTTCATCTGGAGAGAATTCAAGTTCCAATTGTTGATTTTGTTAAGTATCGTTTTTAACTCTCAATTTCTTCATGTGTTTTGAAGTTTTAATTTGTAGGATCACTCTGAGAAGGAATTTTTCAGACTTTCTTTCTCATTACCCCCTCCTTCAAATTCCTACTGGGTTCACATATCCCTGTTTGATTGGTTTTTTTAGTTGTACCTACCTGGTAAATATAGGAATATTCAGGATTACTTAACATTACCTCCAGTTTCTCAATCTATATTCCTCCCGTACTGGCCTATAATGCATAGGCATTTTTTCTAGAAAATTATGCAACAACCTCTTTTCTAGGTTCTTTCCATGACAGGGATCCCAACCCAAAGTCTGCTCCAAACAGAACCTTGTCCCTGATCTTCTCCTCAAGAACACTTTAAAAAAATTTTTTTTTGGTACAGAGTCTCAGTATGCAGCTCAGACTCATAGTGATCCTCTTGTCTCAGCCTCCCCAGTCCTGGGATAACAGGCGTGCACCACACACACGGTTTCAGTGTGCAGCTTGACATGTGGTAGCAGGGATCAAACCCAGGTCCTTGTGCTTGCCAGGTAGATGCTTAGAATGCTAAGCTATCTCCCCAGTCCCTCCTCAAGGACTCTTTAAGTCT